GAATGGATTGCCCCTGGGTAGCTGATTGACCACTGTGTAAACACAACACTGGACCAAATGGACCCTTGGTCAGATCTAGCTTGTGGGAAACTTTGCTGATAGCGATTTCATCAAACTCAGATCAAAGCCATCCTGCTCCCTATACCAACATGGCCAAAGGTACTTTGGAAAATGGGGGTGTTCTTTCCAGGCAGCAAAAGGCAACAGGCCGCCTGGCGCAGAAAGCAAGATGAATCGCTGCATTTCAGTGGGGAAGTGAAGTGGTAATTTCTTGCTCTAGAACATTATTTCTCTTACGATGTTTTGGTACCAGAGAAGAAAACTGCTTGATGTCGTATAACAGTGTGTTTGATTTTCTGTACTCTGGTTAAATCATGTCCCCTTTTACAGCACTGCTTTTCAGTTCAGCACAGTGCTGTGAATGAAGGCGCAGTAAAGGGAGACATTTTGAGAAAAGCTGAAATTCAGTAGGACATGGGAGTTAAGTACCAGTGAACTCAGTGGGGTTTACTTCTGAGGGATGTACACCACCCCCACCCCAAATTAATGTGTCCAGACTCCTGCCCCCAGTGACCAATGTTTCATTTTAGCTTGCCCTTTGTCAAGCCACTGACTCCATGGTATTGGAATCATTGCACTGCACCATCTCTATTGGAAGGAGGACAAAGAAGTATTACGATTCAACAACTATCCAAAAGGCAGGATAGTTTCTTGAAGGCCTCATGGCCTTCAGCTTGTAGGAAGAGCACCAGATAATGGCTTTGAAGCAGCTTTCTCCAATCATTCTGTAGATAAGGGCTACTTCTGTGTTGAGCCAAAACTGTTGTGTCGCTGAAGCAGTTTCCTTGACCCTTCTGTGTCCCAGGTAGTGGAGTTGTAGCAACTGACAGTTAGAGAGGATCTTCATAGAATCAGTGGCAAGAAAGTTTGTCTTTCTTTCTTGGCATAGGGAGAGGAATTACTAGTACTAATTTCATTTCTGTACTGTCTGTAGCCAAAGTTCTCTGGAGCCTCACTAATGAAGGCAACTTTGGAGACTCATGGAGCATCCCGAGCTATTCAGGGATGAATACAGCCACAGACAGACAGACTACATTTGTATGCTTTCCCATACCCCAGAGGCTCTCTGGGTGGCTTACAATAAAACAACAATACAAATAATAAACAACCCTAACCCTAACTAAAAACATACACTCCATTAAATGAATACAAAAATATAATAATCAGCTAAACATCTTAAGAAGGCAACACAACAGTAAAATTAGGACAAACCACTAGCTACCAAGGCACCTGTTAAAATAAAAACATTTTTACCTGAAGCTGAAAGGGGAACAGTGATGGCACCTGGCGCTCCTCCTTAGGGCGGGGGTTCCATAGGAGGGGAACGATCACAGAGAAGGCCCTTCTCTGAGGCATTGCTCCCCTCACTTTACTTAGGGATAGCTCTCAGGGAAGGACCTCCATCGAAGATCTTAATGGTCAGGAAGGGATATACGGATAAGGAGAATACAAGCTTTCTTCCCTCCGCTTATATGCATGTATCCATGTTTCATCACTGCATTCAATAAACTGTTTATCATCTTTGACAAGGTGATTTCATTTCCTCCTAAGTGTCCTTGAAGCTGCAGTGAGGTGCTTTGGCTGGACCAGGCCCTGGGGTTAAAACAGATGCTCTGCCTCTTCCTGGGGGAATCCGGTGCACATGGAGCCAGTCAGAGGCTGGGACAATACTGACAAAGGTCAAACTGGATTAGTGACTGTGTGGAGAAGACCGTTACATACCCTGCATTAGGACCAGAAATGCATTACTGCTGGCTTTACTGATATGGCAGGGAAAGCTACTATCTGAAAGCTCGAGGAAGGAGGACCATTTATTTGTTGACCATGCCACTTTTTACATGAGAGCTACGCCTCGCTCCTCACATGCACACCTAAACCAGCCCCTCCTCGTAGCGACTGTCTAGCAGACTATCCCTGCTTTCTTCAGGCGAAGGAGCTAGACAGTCCATCAGGAAGCATTTCCCCATCTCCTCTCCTGGCATAGCATCATTCTCTGGCCCATCAGTCTCTTGCCTAGCAACCAACCCAATTTCCACTAAAGAACAGAGCAAAAACTGCTATACTTATTGGAGAATCTGCTTCCCTTTGTCACCCCCCAGGGCAACTTCAGGCCCCCCATCGGGTCCCATTTCATGTTCCTGTGACACCATGCGAAAAAACTGCGATTGCAGCCAGAAGCAGTCACCGCCCTGCAAGTGGGGTCTCCCCACTTCTGACTGGGGCCTGGGGGCTGTTAGACATTTTTCACTTGCAGCGTTTGTTGATGTGTCTGCATTGCACTGCACTGAAAGCTTTTTAACCTTTCGTGGAATGTTCCTGGTTTTGTATTTAGTGTAAGACCCCCTGAGCGATGGAAAGGTGGGCAAAGTTATTTTAAACAAAAATATACCAGGCCTGGCTTAGAAGGAAAGAGCAAGCAATGATCAGCAAGGGAGGCCATTCACAGTCAGGCGAATTGAAATACATGGATCACACTCTTGCTTTACGTCTGCATTTTTATCTAGGAAGGGTTGTTTTTTTGTGGGGGCAGACCACCATGGAAGCATTGCTGAAAGGTGGTTTTTTAAAATAAAACAAATCCATGTATATATCATTAACAGATTACACACCCACGATCCTGAAGGATCGGCTTTGCACTGAAGGCACTTTGCTTTAACCTAGTCCAGGACGTCAAGAGTGCTCAATTAAGTGCAAGGTATCCTAAGGACAAGCATTAGTTCAGCCCATTGCAGTTTCGGGCCAGGTCCTCCTGCCTGTTTAATTCCGTGGACGGTATGTTTACATATGCGTGCGCCTTCTCTGCCTTCGCAGAAATCGGCTTTCGGTGATGTCTGCTCTCCCAGTGATGCAGCTGCCTCCATCCTGCTTTCCCTCAAAAGTATTTTAGAGCTGCTCATAATGCAGACTTTCACATCCTTCGGAGGAGGAAAGGCACGGCCGTAGAACAGTTACGTAACTGCCTTGGCCCCGCCGATTTGCCTTCCTGATTTTTAATCTCTTCAGCCGTTCTATCTTAGCATGTCACGATCGGTGGAGCTTGTGTTAAACTGTTACGGATTAGCACCGGGGCTGTAACCCGTTAAAAGCTAAGCGGTGTTTATTCTTGTCAAGAAAAGGGCAAAACCTGGTTCACATTTTCAAGCAGATATACTGGACAGCCTGTGCCTGGTGGGGATAAAAAGGTGTATCTCGCAGGCTGCATTTTATGAGAGTTCTCATAAAATAACAGATAAGATGGTTGAGCAGTGCACAGATGCTGATAAGAACACTGGTGAGAATTTATTTAAATATTTACAGTAATGACGCCTGTAAATACAAGATCAGTTTTGCATTTAAGATAGATGAGACCAAGGGAGTTTTTTTCCCATGGAGGGAAGAGGCAGGGCACGCATCTAGTCATTTCTTCATGATGATATAGATCCAGGATTATGCTACACACTTGTTCTTACAAAGCACAGATGAACCAGTAAAGCTGTTCCCAACATGAGGCGCTGCAGGCAAAGAAAATCAAGACTGAAGGAGTCTGCATGGTGCAGGGGTGTGCACTTTGTGCCTCTCCAGATGTTTTGTCCTAGAACTTCCATCAGCTCTCACCAGGATGGTGAAGGATGAGAGTTAAAGGCCAAAACATCTGGAGGGCCACAAGTTGCCCATGCCTGCTAGACAAACCAACCTCTTCCAACCTGGTGCACTTCAGGTGTTTTCAACTACAGCTCCCAGCATTCCTGGCCACTGGCTGTGTTGATGGCAGCTTGTGGGAATTGACATGGAAAGCATTTGGATACCACCAGGTTGGGTGGACTTGCCTAACCTTCCCATTCAAAAGCTGGTTAGGTGCATGAACACAGAAAATAAGGGTGCCCATTCAGCCAAGCCAGTTTCACAAAGCTGTGAAATCAGCTTGTCTGTTGCAACTTTGCTGAATTCTACCGATAAAGAGACCAATCCTGACATTGCTCCCCAATGACATTGAGTTGAATCACGCTGCGGCAGCTTCTGCCAAATGATTTACTCACTCCAAGAAGCAGCCTAAAGGGCTTCCCGTGACTGTTCTCCAGCAAGTACTTGAGAGAAGAGGGCCTCAAAATCTCACCTTGAAAAGCACTCTGGGCAGATGTTGACAGATGTCTCAGACTACTTTGGAATGCACAGCTTGAGACTAGAAACTTAAAGGAAAGAGTCCCCCAAACCAGCATGATTTACCATGCGTGTCAATAGAATTTCTCAGCCTAACACATGCAGACAGACAACATGAGCCAGAGGGTGCTTAGGGATTCAGAGGCTTGATGCACATGTGCTGTCCCTTCACCCCCAGGTGCCCCTCTATTCATTCCAGTGAAGGGACTTGAACCTGAAATATGTGCCACTATATCCCTCCAAGGAAGCTAGTGAGGCAACCAAAGACGTGTGTGTGCCCATTTGGGGGCAAGGATGCAACCTAAATCCAATCATTGTCCCTCATTCTTCTGAATTGCCCAATATCTAGATCACATCATGAAGCAACTTGGACTCCTTTCTTAGAAAAGTATTTCATTAATGAAGGTTGGCTAAAAACATGAGCTCTTTATTAAGGCTGTGTGTGCAAGCATATGAGGCCTCGGCAAGGGGCGGCATAGAAATGTTTTAATAAATAAATAAATAAATAAATTTGCGGTGAGCCACCAAGGAGCCAAATTCCTTTTCAGAGAAGCTGAGCTGAAAAGAACTTATCCATGGTGAATGGAGCTACTCAACTTTAGTAGGTTCATTTCAACTTGGCAGAATTTGTGGGGTGAAGAGCAAGCAAAAGCCAGCAAAAATCAACCCACCAGCTTCTGGGGAAAGGCATGTGGCCAGTGGGGAACCCTGCAGGGCTGGATTGGAACCCCAGCTAGGCCAGTCTTGGCTTGAGATTTCTGGCTTGGTTTATGGTATGAACAAAGACCACGCTGACCTCTGGATCTCTTTCAAACTCTTTATTGGTTGGCTTTTGTTTTAAGTATTTAGAAGTCCTAATGGGAAATATTAAATAAACCCAGCATCAGTCCAACAACTTTGTCCCAATGGCAGGAATTTCAGGAAGCATGAGGAAACTTTGTTGGCATTTTTGTTCTTACCCTAGCCAGGGGCTTTACTTTACAAATTCCAACGCACAGCTATTAGCTGCTAATCCATCTTCGTACCTGACAGCTAGCCAAGCCCTGTTCCAGAAAGAGCGCCACTGCCGAGGCTGATACGGTTCATGCTCCGGCGTGCTATTTAAACAAGGCATAATCTTACTCAATCTGACTATATATGGAATTGCCTGCTGAGCAAAAAGCTTCGGAGGCTCGGCTGGGAAAAGGGGAGGGAATGCAGAAGAAGGTTTCCCTGTGTGTGTAGCTAAAATAGACTTTTGGTAGCGAAGGTCAAATACCCAGTGTGACCCACCATTTCCCTGAGTGGTACGCCGCTTTTGAATTGCACAGATCCCTGCTGAAGGCGTGTACACGAGACACCTTGATTTGATGGGCTGCCTTCGTCAAACTCAGTGCTGGAACTATCCTCAGCGGTGCTTCCAAGGTCAGGGATTTGCAAGCTAATTGTCCTAATGTTGTACACTCTAGGCAGGATCTCCAGGGTATTAATTTCAGTAAAGCCGTGTTCCTCCAATGCCAGGCAGGTCCTTTGAACTTGTTCAATACAAGGGGAAAAAGAACAGATGCGTCCACCTACGCAGAGAGAGAAAGAGAGAGAGAGAGAATCAATGAATGAATGAGAACCAGCAATGTAAGGGATCACACCCAGTTCTCTAGACAAGATAGTTATGTTGCAACTCTGTGAAACCTTTCTTTCTGAAGCACCTTCATGGAAATCAGTGGGAGCACTCTTCTGAAGCAAATCATATGACAGCTATGGTTTTAATTGCTGGTGTACATATTATATACTGGAGCTACAGGGAGAGCCTTAAATCCAGAACATTACAGCTAGGGAGGGTTGAATGTCAGAATCCTGTGCTTGCAAAATTCTGTACCAAATCTATAAAGTGTAGAACTTAGAAGGGTATCTTGACTTACAGTCCTATACTTACAGTCAGCTTCCATGTAGCCTGAAGTGCCTGATCCTGCCTAATCTTGGAAGCTAAGCAGGGTCAGGCCTGGGCAGAAGTGGGGTGGGTGACTTGAGTGCATGATTCTATGATTATTGCTGTTAACTGCCTAGAGAGCTTTGGCTATGGGCAGTATAAAAATATAATAATAATAATAATAATAATAATAATAATAATAATAATAATACTTTGCTCTGAGTAAGTCTCATTGAACTAAATAGCACTTACTTATGATTAGGCAGGTGTAGGACTGCACAGTCAAAGTATTTCTGAATCAGCTCTATTTTTTCCCATGCATTTTGTCACTGTAGAGAGAGACAGCTGGAACAGTCTGTACCTCATTGTGCTTTGTACCCTGATTAGTGCTCCACTTCCTGGATTCATTGCACAGATGTTAGTACCTACTTAAAGAGGTACCAACTTTCTCACAGTACCCTTCACATTTTTTTTATAAACAGCTATTAATAGCAGATTTGTGTAAACCATGACACTGGGGTGCATTTTAGATTCTAACCCCTTTACTGCTGTGCATCTAGACATTAAACAGGGAACACACGCGCATTTAATCAACAATCCCATTTTCTTTGCAGGAAGAAGGTCACTGCACAACCTCCTCTAACTCTGGATTACTTCGGCTGTTTCACAATCCTTTATGGAGGTCTCAAAGTTGCCCACTGAAAAAAAATTTTTTGGCCAATGTACAACTCTGGTGTTTAAAAACAAAAGCAGACATTAATCACTCCCAAACCGCAGTGGGCAATACCAAGAGAAGGAAGTACACCGGTACAGGAAACACACAAATATGACTTTTAGGGCTAGAAGGGCCCAAATGAAATTCGACAAAGCACTGGCACGCCACATGGACTGAGAGATAGCTACTTCCTCCATTAGCTTTTTTAGCATTCATACGAACACCAACAGATTTGGAGTTCCCACACAGCTGACTGCTAATCTCAATCTGAATGTCTTTATTTTATTGATGCATTTCCTCTTCTACTTTTCATTACAAAATATTTCCGAAGTGGAATCGGGAGACGAATTAGTAGCAAATAGCCGTGCCTTGGAATTCATAAAGTAAACACAACTTGCTGGGGTGGAAATGAAGGGTCAGCTCTAGACCAGTATCTTACTTCCCACAGGAGCCAGAAGCAAGCCAGATGATTCCGGGAAGAGCTTGTGAAGGTCTGCATCAGCAGTCACCAGCCTCTTTGGACTCATGGGCACATTGAGAAATTGCTGTGAGCATCACCACAAAATGCCTAATCGGTGGATTACTGCATCAGTGTCTACCTGTCGCATCCGTGGATCTTAGGTAGCTCCTTATTCAACAAAAACATTCATTTTGTGTCTACTGGATGCTGCCACGTCTTTTTCATAAGGGATGGTCTTAATTCTGCTAATTGCTGGTGGTGCAATACAGCTAGTACTTCTTTCAAAGGTATGTTTTTCAAATGTCCAGTAGTTGATCCATTTTGGGAGGAAGTTAGTATATGGATAAATTTTCTACTGGAACAGTCTTTAATATTTGCTGATGTGCACACCTTTTAATACTATCTACCTGCTTCTTGGAAATTAATGAGTGGTCCGCATCAGTGGATTCTCCTTTGGACAACTAAAAGACTGACATTGCAACATTGAAGGCTAACACTCACCTCCTATAACGCAATAGATTGAGGGCCGTACAATGCTTTTAACATTTAAACAGGTAACATACAGAAATTCCTTTCAAAGGGATACATAATTGGTCAGCTTTTGTTGAAATCTTAGTATAACTGCTAGAAAGCTGTTTGCATTTCATACATATTCATTGATATGCATCTAACAAATCCATGAAATACATTAAAAACAGAAAAGGAAATGATAAAACAGTGGAGGTGACTGTCCTGGTCTAGATTCTATACCAGCCCTAACTCACCTAGCACTCTTCAGATGTTTTGGACTACAACTCCCATCAGGCTGAGCCAGCATGCTCAGTAGTCTGGTTTGGTGAGAACTGCAGTCTAGCAACTATGAAAATAGCAGAGCAGCCTACCACTTTTAGCATTTTATTGGGTGTTATATATAGTGGAAGCACTGATTCACCCCAACAGGGGTGGCCAAACGGAGGCTTGGGAGCTGCGCGCAGCTTTGAGTTGATTTTGCAGCTGGTAGCTCACCACCCACAGGCACGCACTTGCCGCTGGCCACCCACAGCCGCCACCCACTTGCCACTCGCAGCCACGACCCGCGGGTGCCTGCTTGCGGTTCCCAAGCATCTCACACTGACCATACGTGGCTCTTCTGTTGAGCAAGTCTGGCCACCCATGAGGCGTGAGGCGTACAAACCAGCCTTACCTCGAATCCGAATCTGGCCCATTTAGCTCAGGACTGCCAGCAGCCTTCCCTAACTTGGTGCTTCCAGATGCTTTTGCACTACAACGCCCATTGCCCCAACCACTGATCATGCTGGCTGTGGCCAATGGGAATTGTAGTGCAAAACCATGGCACCCAAAACCGGAGGGTGCCATGGAGAAGGCCGTACTGCAGAGGCTGTAGTGAGACGGCACATGCATTTGATGCGGGGATGGCGCTTGTGCACTGAGGCGTATGCTGTGATGAACTGATCGTGTCTTTAAAGGTGCCACAAGGCTCTCTTGTTTCTGCTGTGACAAACTAGCACAGCTTCTCCTCTCTCAAACAGTTCACTGAGATCTAGGACCAATAATTCTCCTCAGGTATTTTGGAAATTAGCATGATTAAAATTTCAATTTAGACTATGGCCTTTTAATTATATTTTGCAGTTATGATCCACAGTTATTTTGATTTATTCATACTTATGTTGAACAGAGTTATAATAGAAAATGCACTAATAATACCTATCAAAGCTGAAGCAGGCCTTAGGCGGTCTTACAAGAATAGTACAACTTCATCCATCTACAACAAGACTTTTACCATTTCCTCAGATCTATTCTGATAGTAACATCCAAGGATTCTCTCATTAATCTGAGCAGAAGAGAATGGTGAATTGCTTGCAGCAAACAGGACAACATGCAACAAAATGAGTATTGGGACATTACAGATTCCCATTGATCGCTATCTTAGGTATCAGAGTTATAGTTACATTCACCTACATAAAAATCCTATGTCTACATGTCCTTAAAGTGATAGGATCACTCTATCCTAATGACTGCCTTCTCTAAAACTTAAAATGAATGGGATACTTGTAATACATCATTACTAATTTCATTAGTTGGCTTTCATCATGCCTAATTGCCGACCAAGCAAGCTAGGACTGATAGGACTTAGAATCCAATGACATCTGGAGGGCCATAATTTTCCCACCTCTGCTTTACAACAATCACATCTGTCATGGATGTTTAATCGCAAGCCTAAGTCCACAATAATTACTTCATTCTACAGCCCTCCATTCACATTCCCCCGGGAATTATTGGAACAAATCTCCTTTTTTTTCAAGCCTTTGTTTGGCAAAGCAAAGCAAAGCAAAGCAAAGCAAAGCAAAGCAAAGCAAAGCAAAGCATCAGAGTTGGGCAACAAAACGTCTGATGCCCAATGCCAGTCCAGGCAGTCTTTATTGCTGCACAGTCAGATTCCAAAGTATGCTTTCCAAATCACACTATTATTATTATTATTATTATTATTATTATTATAACATTTCTATGCCACCCCTTGCCAAAGCCTGATTATGATTGCCCAGGAGTGGCCTTAAGCAGTTTTATAGCCCTCCCCTACAAAAAAAATTCTTATTTAGGACCTTCAACCTCAGAGTGTCCCAGTGAAGGCAAGGGGCTTAACTTGGAAGGTGTCTTTTTTCTTTTACTCTAATAACTTAAGATTCCCCCTACCCAATCCTTTTTATGCTGGCATTACTTTTTCTAACTGCTGTAAAGAGAAGCTAAAATAAAAATAAACTGAAAGATGCAGATGGAGCAAGTGTACGGCAAAGAGTTGAAAGCACCACACTTTCTGGCCGCAGTATCTGAACTTCCTGCGTAGAGTTTCACTTCTGTTTTCTTAAACTGGTGCTAGTCTGAGCAGCCTTGCTTAGCACTGTAACCTTGCAATTAAGCCTAATCAGCAGAGGACAGCAAGAGTCTTGTGACAGCTTGAACTGCTGGAGAACCAAGAGGGCCTTAGTTGCTTCTGCACTGTAGGAAGGAGGCGGGACACGCAGAGATGAAGAGCTGAGCCAAGACTCCGTGGCTTCCCACCGGACGGGCCAAAGCAGCCAGTCCAGGGCTTCCCTCCCTGGGGAAGACTGTGAGCAGAGAAGCCCGACTCCTAGTCCAAGTGCTGTGTGCAAATGACACCAGGGGGGCATGGCCATGCCCAAGGGTATCAGGATGAAAGCATCATCCAGCATGCAGTGAGCGGGGTGGGTGGGTGTCATCATCAGCTCACAAATTTATTATGCATCAGGCTTCCACAAACAACAGTCCACATCTCCAGGTGCACTCCCTGTCTGGGAAAATGTATGCCATAATAAACTCGCTAGTCCTCAAGGGCCATGAGTCTCTGTTATTTTTGCTGCAATGGAATAAAAATGGGATCCAACTGAAATGAAGGAGGCCTCCAAACGCAGAGGCTGACACTCATCCAGTGCAGAATGGGAGGAGTGCCAAAGGC